AACTCCACCTAAAAATACATTATAGAGATTTAAAGGATACGGAACATATTTTATATTTCTCTTATGAGAGCTTATTAATTTCATATACTACCTGACAGGAAGCCTGGTGGCCGTAGCAATGGAAGATTGGTATTTTCATCTGCATCTTTGCAAGCATATCATCTTGGTTTCGAATCTAGAAAAATAATCACTTGAGATAAACTATCGTGGAAATATTATATCTTAATGCCATGTTATTCCATGTTTCCACAATTATATTGGAAACACGTAAACACAAAATAGCCAAATGTAACAAAATTAATTAAATGTAACAAACTACTGTACTGATGTCAAAAAACAAAGTGGTTTACTTGCCATAATATAGTAAACAGTTAGTTAATGGAAATTTATAATTAACTGTACACAATAGCAACTAGACAGGCATTTCTGTGGCCAAGGTGTATTGGTCAAAATAAGCTGTATTGGTGAAATTCAATTCTCAATGAGGCCACTAATGTAAATCATCTTAAGCAATATTAACAATATTATTATCTAATAAGTTAAAAACAGAAACGAATCACATAAAGAAAATTATTGTTATTGATTGCTAACCTTTAGGTGTGAAAACAGAACACAGGCAATATCATATGTTACATTTAACTTTTGGTCTTTGGAGGCAGGTACATTTAACATTTTATCCAGGAGTAGCACTGAGTAGGCCAACCTATATGACAATTATATGAAATAGTTGAATCAATACTTTAGGTTACAATCTTTAACATCTATTCAAAGAATGGTTTGTACAGATTAACAACCATTCATTCACATTCAATCAGTAGTGAACAGCTTGGTGAACTTTGCTTTCAAGTTACATATTTTTCCCGATAAATGTTTACTCATTTAACGACCGCACATTAAGCACAATACACAACACATTAACTGAGACCTAATCAGCTTCATCCTGTTTGGTGTATTTGGTGACTTTGAATACAACTCTACAGATACATTGTCATCAACTTGACTATCAATATCGTAAGTACAGTAGTTCTGAGTTGACTAATGTCATCAACAACCCAGTGGGCAATTAAAAATGAGGTACTATTACATTAGTCAATGTCCAGTTTAATTTGAAATTAAACTACTCTACCTCTCTCCATGTTGCATATTCATGAACAATACTGGTGATTCGTGTCTGCAGACGCTTCCAAATACACCAGTCACATCCATTTTGGAAGTTCTTGATTTTGAACGTACTTTGTCACCTGCCTTGAACTGATTACATTCCTATGAAAGTGTAAACAAAAATAATAGCACAAATTCATTTAATGGACTATCTGAGCCCCATCATGATAGATAGTTTACAGAGCAGCAATTGTATTTTTTTCATTCAGTGAAAAAAAATATGCCTTCCTACAAACCTTAAAGCCTGTTGTTGAGTCATTGTATGAATTCACAAAATTACTGACTTCTTCATCTGTTATAAAAAATCTAGAACCATGTTTGGGTGGCTCCATGCTATCTCCAGCCTTCTTCCGCCTAAGAAGGCCAAAATTTGCATCTATGGCAACAAATCTTGTTCCACTACCCTATTAATTATAAAAATTCATATCTATATTAATGGATTCTAGAAACTTATGCATGTCACTAAATGGTCTAAAGGTTATGCATTTGCACATCAAGCAAAGATTCCACATCTTTACCACTGTATAAAATGTCATTAAATGTATACACTACAAATACTCCTTTTAAGCAGTAAAGACTGGATTATTTTGGGTTAGACCAGACTCTGTTTACAGCCAGTCAGAAGTGTCTGATAATATTTTTTATAAAAATTAGCAATTATTCAAAACTGACATCTACTGTAGTACTTGGTAGCAATAATCAATATTA